AGATGATAGATGAGAGCTGCTAATCGTTGATGATGAAGCAGAAGGTTGTGAGAAACTGGTTTGAAAGAAAGAAGATAGTAACTCTGCTTTAGAAGAATCATCACTGGCTGTTGAAGAGTTGAACTGCATAGAAGCTGGCAGGTCTTCGACAGGGTCACGATACTTTTTTATCGCAGACCAAAATCGCTTACCATTCGAGAAATCTTTTATGAGAAGTTTAAATAATCGTTTTTTATCAGCACGAATAGAGTTTCGTTATACAATTGCAGTGATGAATATAACAGTAATTTGTGAGTAGTTTTATTCATTATTTAACACTCTTATTTCTTGATTATTAATAACTGTGTTTAAAGATACTGACGAATGATAATAGCAGCCGTTTAACTACTTTCATTTCTATTTTACTAAAATTATCTCTCATTAGCATGACCGGAAGAGAAAGTTGGAAAGTCATGGTACACTATTTTTAAGTGTTTTTAATGTATAAACAGTAAAAAGAAAATCACAAAAGGAACAGTCAATGCTTCAGATATTTTTTTAACTGTTACTGAATGTGTTTTTTCTGTTGAAAAAACGAACATGTATTGCTGTAGCAGAAAAAGCCTGATATCTTTACCTTGTTAAGGTATTCTGGAAAAAATGCTTCTTCCGATTTTCCATACCATTTTTTTCCGACTTTTCCCGATTTTAACGGAATTTTTTCTGAACTGCGGATTTTGCACTTGGCAACCCTCATTGAGACATATCTTTGCAACCAAATCTGTTCACAACAAATTATTGTTAGAAAAGTATTTCAGAACATGTGGTTAGTCCAGAAATTATGAAATTTGTATTTTCATCTTTTTCAGAAATCAGATTTTATACTAAACAACTGCTTTGGAAAAACGCATGGACGAACATGGGCAAAAAAACGTGATAAGTCATACTGCCCAGGTCGAAGAATCTTACTGTAAGATCTTAAAAGATTCTTATACGATTTTTCGTCTGATCTCGTGCGATTCATATAAGAATTTGTAAGATTCTGTAAGAAACATAGAAACTGATCCTTGCTGTAAGATCTTATAGTAAGACTTCATCACATTTCGTAAGATTCTTGTATAATTTTTATAAGATTTTATAAGATGAATCCGTTTCTATGATTTTTCGTAAGATTTTATACGATCGTGTCAGATCCTGATCTGATTTTTTGACCTGGGTGCCTCTGCGCTAAATAACGCTCATTCAAATAATCCCATAGTAGCCCATTCAAGGCTACTAATTAGTAGTTAATATATGCATTGAAATTGTTTAATTATCTATTTATTTGTTTATGACACTAACATCGATAAAAAGGAAAAGATTTACTCACGTACTAACTTTCTCTTATTAAAAAGTCTGCTTATGACCGTAGATAGAAACTTTTCCTTCGAAATTTTACAAGTTTTTGTTTATGATCGTACCTGCAAAAGTGATCTAATATTACAAGAACGTTTTAAGATTTTCAAGAAAAGATTCCTTAAAGAAAATACAAGAAAAGAAAAAAAATCTGATAAATTCTTGAAGTCACATGATTCCTGAAAGAATCAATCAGATTTTTTTCTTTGGAAGATCTTGAAACGAAAAATCATAGAAAAAGGATCCTTCAAGAATTTATAAGATATAAGAATCCTTAAAGAATAATTTTAAGAACGTCGACTAGTGTGTATACAGAGTATATAAAACGAGGAAAAAAGAAAAGAATTGTATATATGTTGTGGACAAACTTTAAATTCGGTCAAATTTTAAATTTGTCCGGACAAAATTTAAATTTAAAGTTTGACCAGAAATTTCTTGGACAAAATTCAAATTTAGATTTTGTCCGGTCAAAATTCAAATTCAAAGTTTTTTTGTTTTTTTTGAGATTTTTAGTCAAAATTCAAATAAAAACAAAAATGGTGGGATGAGCGGTAAAAAAGTACATATTGCCTTTAGTTATTCAATTTTATCGTAGAAAGGGTCAAGAAAAGATATAAAAACATGCTGTTGATTTCATCTTTCCAGTAACGCTCCAGCTCATACTCGTAATGAGAATCTAGGTCATTACTGAACAGGATACTTATCCACTTCACCGCGTAAAGGTGGCATGATTATTAAAGTAGTCCAGATTTTTTTTGATTTTTTTATTTTATGTATAAAAATGTAGCTCGGTTGTATATTCATAACGTTCGATATGTACATTTCCACAATTTAGTTTTCGTAAAGTTTTTACTTATTCTAATTAGTAATGAAGATTAAAATTAATCAAAATATTTACATTTCATTATTTTTCACAACACGTGTAGCTCTCAAAGCAAAAAAACAACAATGTACAGTTTAAGCAATGTTCATTTTAATCCCCCATATTCTTGCAGGCCCCTTTTTTACTATGACATTTTGTAGAACAAGCAACTCCAGCTCTTTTGCACGGACAATGTTTTGTGACACATTTGCTTTTACAATCACACGTTGTACCACTAACTGATCTCTAGCAAACAATTTACACGCTTCAATGAAACTTATATCATTCAATTCACCAATATTCAATTCTTTTAAAACTTGTGGACAAGAAGATTTTAATTCAACAAAATGATCAACTGAGAATGAATTTTGTAGTACACCATATTGACACGCCAATTTAAAAACAGTGGAGCCACCCTTTTTGTTTTTTTTCAATAACAATACAAGGTAAAAGTTTGGGGTCCGTGTTAGTACGATCGGCAGTATGAATTTGGACTCCAACACAATCATTCATATTAAATCTGTCTGTTAGTTTATCAACGTAATTATGATGTAATTTCATTCGTTTTGACGCGCTAGTTAAATAATTATTTGTTGCGGTCTGCCGTATTAGATCGTGTCTAGATGATGTTGATGGTAAAGAAGGTTGCGTTGATGATAAACTAAGATCAAGAGAAGAGGTGATTGTTCTAGAAGAAAAATCATTTGAATTCGGAAAAGAAAGAAAACCAGGTGATGTTATTTCATTTAAAATACTCAATGCATTTTGTGTGGAATGAACAGTAGTAGGCGTTAAAACAATTTCTGCTGTTACTGAAGGAAAAAATCATCCGAAGAGAACACGAACAACAACTACCACTAAGAATGTTCAATCAATTACTGAAAATAATGAATTACCATCTTCTACGATGATGACTACAGACAAATTCAAACCATCCTATTTAAAAGTACCTGATCGAATATTTAAACAAATGTTAGCAAATTCAGTTGAAAATGGTAGTTCTCAAATTAGTCAATGTTTAAATACAAATGAAAAACTTCATTTTATTCGTCGAATAGCTGAAATTACTAATCTTCTTTATTTTAAAGGTTTACAACAACAATTATGGCAAGAATATGATACGATTAGTTCAAAAGATACTGGTGACGATAACCAATGGCAATCTAAAACAACTAAACAATATGCTAATCAACATAATACATGTCGCACGCATAAACCAAAGCAATCTTCTATTCAATAACATCTGCAAAAAATACAACAACAACTTGAACAAATTGGATATACAAATATAACCAAATGTTGCGTAAAAATATAGAACAATGGTCAACACCACCCTTTATAGATCCAGATATTTTATCCCACACAATTAATGAATATGTTAAAAAAGGTCAACAACGTTAAAAGAAAATTTCGATTATAAAAAACAAATGATATCATTAGATTGGAATGATCATCAATTAATCACGAAATTTTACAAATTAAAACCTACTGAAGAACAAATTGAATTAGCTAAACAAATTCGGCAAGCAACAGCTAATAAATTACAAATAGAATTATATTAAAACGATTACCAACGAAAACTGATAAAATGATGAATGAACTCCTTTATGATAATCAAAAAACACTTTCCAATCCGTTTCTTGAACAAAAGAACGTGCTAGTTTTGCATATTGTTATTCAAAAACAACTATACAATCCAAATTTTATTTAATGATAATAGTAATCGATGAATTAGAAACTGTTATGCGTCATCATCGTTCAACATTAATTAATTTAGAAGATAAATTATCAAAATTACATAAAGAAAAACCACATATCTATACGACTTTATTACTTGATACTATTGAACAACGTCGACAAGCAATGAAACAACGATTTTTTCGAATACGTGAATATAAATTGAAGACTTTTTTCGACGAGGCTCCGACGGTGGCCAACAACAACATCTTATAAAAAATCACCGTCGGAGCAACTACATATGTTTTTATACAAAAATTGCTGCTTCATTACCATTTTTTGAAACTAATTTAACTCAGAAACAAATATCTATGTTAATGAAGGGCTTGAGATATATTATACCATGTCAAAATCGTATTAATCAACGACGATCCAAAACGAAATCAGCTAAAATGCAATATGATATAATATCAAATTCAATTAAAAAATGTGTTGGTGATAATCAAACGTCTATTACCGATCAACGTGCTACACAAGCCTTCACAGAATTAGAACATCTTATTTATCAATTATATAAAAAAGCATTATCAAACAAATTATATCGACGTGCTCGACGTGAATATAAACAAGTTAAAAAACTTCAGAAATTCTTACACAGTCGACCTGATATTATTCTATGTCAAATTGATAAAAGTTCAGGATTTTATATTGGAGATGCTCAAACAATTGAATTAAAAGCATATGAATATATGACTACAACAAATGCTTACAAAGAAATTACAAATGGTCATTGTCCATTAGCTGAAAATTCACGTACTGTACAAAGTTTACTTCAAAATCTTTTAGAACAAAAGCAATTACTAAAGAATTATATGATAAATTATATCCAAAGACGACGAATAAATCAGAATTAGCTCATTTTCATGGTTTACCTAAAGTACATAAAGTAAATGAATTGTTTTTTATTCGAGATCATAATTTCTCTATCCTTCTATTATACTTATATATATAGGTTGGTATTCCATTACGACCAATTATTGCTGGTATTTATGCACCAGCGACAGCAATGTCAAAATTTTTAAATTCTCCCTTAGCACCTATTTATTTAAAAGTAGCACGTAAAACGACATTTATTCATAGTATTGATGTCGTTCGACAATTAGAAATCTATATCACCAATGGTCATTTTAAACCGACAACGAAATTTATTACAGGTGATGTTAAAAATCTCTATATAATGATACCACGCAAGGGTGCATTAGAAGCATTAATACGACGTTTAGAGAAACATTCAAAAGCTCGTCATATTCGTACATTACATATCGACACCATATTTAGAATGACACTTACGGTTTTGGATACCAATTGCTTTGCTTATAAAGATAAATATTATAAACAAATTCATGGTGGTGCCGTGGGTTCCGCATTTAGTTGAATCTGAAGTTTTGAACTCGTTCTAATGTTTTATGAGTGAATAGGGAATTTTTTAATATTAGGTGAAAACAGCCTGAAAATCAATACTATCCTATTGGAAAATGTTTACAGACGGCCTACTTTTCGAAAGATCTCCTATAAAACCTGTTTCAGAAAACTCTTGTGAAAATAATGTTGGCTATGAAAACATGTCTCCAAGTCTGCTCTTTTAAATGGCGAAAACCGGAGCTCTCTAGCTCTTTTCTATCAAACGTTATTCAAAACTTAGCCAGGGAAGCTGTTTTTGGCGTCGATAATAATTAACAGTAATTTATATAAGCACTTGACAAACCCGCTATTCATAAAAAAGGATTCCAAAGGCCTCTTATAAGAACCTTTTACAAAAACAAATATAGGGTTTTGTAGCGCTTGTGAAGAGCTTGCAAATCATGTACTACTTGATGACTTACAATAAACTGTTAGCTTGCAAATAAAGATCCAGAGTGACGCTAATTGGCTTTAAATAATTATAAATCAGTGTGTTAAAACAGCTTTTCAAAATTTTTTTCCCATGACAGTATCACAATAGATCATTGGCTATCAAACAATACGAGAATGACATTTCTACGATTATTTTTTTAACCGAGCTACAAGCTTTTCAAAATGGGAACTAGGCATCCAAATTCTAATTAAAATTGGGGGGCCCTTAAAGAATGTTCAGTATTTTTCAGTAGTGCTTTGTCTCGTTTACAACAAATCGACGTCCCTCAAACGAAACCAGACTGATCCGTATCTTCATTTAATACAAATCAATCTGTTACCCTAACTCGTGCCTCCGAACAATCGACTTTCTTGGGAAAAGTGGACTGAATTCAAAAATAAATGTGCTTGAATGAGAAACATATCGACTTTCGTGAGAGACAGATCGTGAGAGGAGCCCTTAAGCAACGAAAATTGGATGATTCTAACTCTTTAATAAAAACAAGAATGAACCAACTTAAGAGTGTTTGTGATAATCAATGAACTACATGACTAAGCAGTGTTCCGACGATAAACCGTAATATTGCAGCATGTCAGAAAAACTTTCTCTGTTTCAAGCGAAGGACAATCATTATCATCCAGTAAGTTCATTTTTTCATCGCGATAACTGATTGCTGACACTACAAACATAGCGTTTAGTGTAGGTTCAGCACACCCGGCTGATATTAATTCTTCTTTGGCATTGTTTTTCAACATTCGAATTGTTTCTTCAATTAAACTTTTGTATTCATCTTTCGTTAGTTTCCGACCTAACTCTCTGGCCTTCGTCTTTGTTCGATTATTTATATCTTGATCGGCTTTTGTCATCACAACTGCAATTGGCATTTTATATTCGACAGCTTTCTTGAAGATTTGAACATCTAACGATGTAAATCTACCCGCTTTTAGTAGCAATAAACAATCGAATGCATATAGAGTCTTGTCTTCGAAATAGGTCTCTGCTGGATGTTTTTGTGTGCCCCCACCTGGAAGATCCCATAGACTTAGATATGGTAATTCATTGTTTGGCCAACGATAACATGCTGGCGCTTGAGTTGTTTCATTGATGCCAGATGGAGCAGAGCCTGTATCTATGTAAATGAATGCACTTGAAAGTTCGACATCTGCAACACCACGAATACAGTTGATGAAACTTGATTTACCTTTGAAAATTTTACAAGAAAAGGTTTTTATATGTAGTTTCTAAGAATGAGTTTTGAAATAAATAAACAAACCTGATCCACTACCACCACATATAGCAATATTATAGTGATTGACAATATCCATTCCTAATTTCTCTTGTGCACTTCGTATCATGATTTCTTCTGTCACTTCTGGACTTGGTGGTGGAGGAGGATTCGGAGGTGGCTTATTGAAATGGGCGTACACTTTCGCTGCGGTTACTGAAAGAGCTGCACCAGCAAGTGCGAGTGGTATCAAGAAAGCCATTTAGGTACTGTGATTAAGAATACTTTAAAAATGAGACTAAGAAATATTCCTAAACCAATCGAATGATGTACAGACGAATTATCTCAAACTACAATGCGTTTCTTGTTAATAACTACTCTTCTTGAAAACTGTTAAGTGAAACCTTTTGAAAGCTGACAGTGCAATTTGTAGTATTTTATCGTTCTATTTGAAGATCATCGAGTATCACTGGGTTTTTCTCTTTTTCTTCCCATTGGAATGAATGAAGAGTGGGTAAAAGAAGTCTTTCTTCGATCCCATTTTATGAGATGAGATGTGTGTTTTATGATAAAGGAAGAAACAAGTAGTATTCATACGAGATAGGAACTCATTCTCCCCTACTGATATAAACACCAAACAATCGTAAAAAAACAAAAACTTGTTCGCTTTTTCTTTATTTTTATGGAAATGATACCTTTTTTTGGATGCGCACTAGCTGGAAGTTTCCTTGCCTACCAATTGCAGCAATATTTGAAGAAACGATCTATCGCAGCCGAACAAAATGCATGGAATCATGGAGGTAGTCGCACAATCAATCCTCCGCACATTGCCACTGGTCCATCGTTGATCGGTAAAGTACATTTGAATCCATTTCAGAATCATGGATTATCCAAGGAAGAGAAAACTATCTCGGCGAGGAGAGCATTACAAATTGATGAAAACGTGGCTAATATCGCTGTTTGTGGCAACAGTGGCACTGGTAAGTGTGTATTTAAAAATTTTGAACATAGTCTATAATATATGATTTGAATAGGAAAATCGACATTTATCAACTGCATTCGTGGTATTCCAGATATTGAGATGAGACCGAATTTCCAGCATGCTATAGAAGGAGCGGCACCAGTTGGTATTATGGAAACAACAAAAATGCGCAACCAATATAAATCATCAGATGATAGACTCTCATTTTTGACTCTGTGGGATTTACCATCTGTGGGCGCAATGTCAACTCCAAATTCGAATTATTTTGAAGATCAGATGCTCTATGCGTTCGATTGCATACTACTTCTAAAAGCTAACCGTTTCACTCAATTCGATATTGACATTTGTCGTCAGGCACTAGAATATAATATTCCACTGATACTAGTTCTCAACAAGGGTGATCAAGATGTTGAAAGTTAAAAAAAAATTCGAGTACGTCAGTTAGGACGACGGTTAAATAAAGAAGAGTACGATGAAACAATTTCGTATACGATTGCAAATCTAAAAGCGAATGCATCGGCAGAATTAACGTCAATTGAAGGTGCTTCCGGCAAACATTTTGACAAACTGCCGATGTTCGTGATTGCAGCACATAGTTATCGGGATCAGATTAACGGTATGCTAGAACCAAATGATTGTCCACCGTTGGAAACTCCAGCACTCATGGAATGCATTTTCAGTAGTGCTTTGTCTCGTTTACAACAAATCGACGTCCCTCAAACGAAAACAGACTGATCCGTATCTTCATTTAATACAAATCAATCTGTTACCCTAACTCGTGCCTCTGAACAATCGATTTTCTTGGGAAAAGTGGACTGAATTCAAAAATAAATGTGCTTGAATGAGAAACAGATCGACTTCTATTGCTGTGCGTAAAAATCAATCTGCAGATTTCAACTTTTTCTTTTTCATCAATCGACTTTGTTCGAATTTTCAAGATTCAAACAAAAAGGAAGTTGAGGGTTAGTTTGAGAGAAAGTGCGCAACCAAAACTAGTTTCGTTCTTGTTCAAGAGTATCGTGAAATTTTATGTTCATTCTTGGTTAAATCATCTTAGTATGTGAAAGATGAAGGATATTCATTGAAATCCAATGGACACAACTACCACTAGCATAATAAGTCTAATTGGTGGGACATCTGTCGGAATAGAAGAAGATACGTGGTTCTAGTCCCGTGAAGAGAACCATTATCTTATAGCCTTATTACTGCCAAATGAAACTGTCATTACAATTTAGTTTCATATTGAATTTGTAACAGAATAGTTCATATCTTTACTTGATTCTTAATTGAATCGAATTAGAGATAAATGCCATCTGATGAGACCCTTAAGCAAGGTCAAAATCGCGATCTTGGTGTGCTTGTCTCACCACTTCGTTAAAGATATCTACTATAATGACTTCTAGTCGTCGAACCCTGTAGATCAAACAATTTATCTGTGATTTTCGAATCACTTGGATAATTGTAAAGTCGAAACCATCTGATGAGACTGCCTGAGCAACAGTCGAAACGTGTCGTACGTAGCTTGAATTTCTAATGAAACTCATCCCCCAAAAATGACAATGGACTAAAATTTTTATCGTAGATAGAACACTAAGAGATGTATCCACCCTCAAAAATTTCAGACCGCTATGTAGCTCCGTTTGGCCAGAAAATCCGTTCAAAAGTAGATTTTTGATGAAAACCACAGTTTTCAGGTTAGGTTCTCTCCCAAGATATGGGTCTGTTTGGGGTGGGGGGGTCATGAATATATCATCTATATATCTATATAAGTAAAAACGATAGAATCAGATAGGAAATTTATTTCCTCGAACAAACCTGCCATAAATTTCTCCATGTTTTGCTTGATGTTGAATTAAATCTTCTTCCCATTCTAACATATAAATATTAGCTAAAACTTGTGTAAATGCGGAACCCATGGCACCACCATGAATTTGTTTATAATATTTATCTTTATAAGCAAAGCAATTGGTATTCAAAACCGTAAGTGTCATTCTAAATATGGTGTCGATATGTAATGAATTACATTCTTGACTGAATTATTCAATTATTAATTGAAGATTATTATATCTTCTAACCGTCTTTTCTTAAATGGACTGGAATCTATATGTTGATATACAGCCCAAATGCTAAAGAGTAGCTGAGACATGAACAATGAGAGATAGATAGAATATGAATGAACAGAACGATCGTACAGGAGCCAATGAGAGGATCTTTAAATATATATAGTATAAATACTCTCTATCCAGCCATACATATTATTACTATTTCAGAATCAACATTAAGTGACGATTCTTCTATATCAATTTTTTGATGCATACGGTGGTGTAGAAAAATTTTGTCAACAATTTTTTATCGGACAAATGTGTCCATTAGGTGAGTAAATATAAATGGACGCTATTATTTTCAACTCAAATTTCAAATTCATTTTTTTTGAAAAATTTTAGGTTTAATTCGTAATGGTCGAAATATGAATTATTATGATGATAAATCATTAATGAAATCTCTAGAAGATATTATTGTTGAAAATATTCGAAAACAAATTGATCAAATTGATTGTCATACAAAAGTAGCAATTTGTTTAGGTGAAGGTCAAAATTATCAAGTATTAAATAAATTAAACCAGAAACATCATTTTTTCGATACCGTATTAAAATTAGCTCATCCACGCTATATCATGCAATATAAACAAAAATTCATTCAAACCTACATTGAAAAATACATTGACTGTTGTCAAATAGCCGTTAAATTATGTAATGAGCAGTAAAACAAGAGTTTTTTTTTATTCGAGTGTAAATAAATATGATTGTTTTTTTTTTTTTTGCTTATTCTTTATTAGCGTTACATTTCTTTTTAAAAATATTTACTTAACAAATACGACGAAACACAATTGAAAATTTAATAAATAATTCAAAACAAAATAAACCCTTACTATATTGCTGTGACGAATCTAAAATATATTTTTGTTTCGGTTAATATCAGCTTATATGTGGTATATCAATCACCTTTACACGTGGTTGAATAGCCCAAAGTGTTTACCTTCAGAATCTGTATCGCCTTTTAAAGATAAATTTTTAAAGTTTCAGAGGAAGTTTTGTTGGAAGCCTCAGAAAATACAATACTAGAATGTTAGTTTTCCTACAATACTGATGAAATTAAACTATTTTTTAAACGCGTAGATTTGTAAGACAACCTTTTCTGCTCAAAATGAGACAGACATAGCACAATTCTGTACGACATTCTGTTAAAAAGTTATAAACATTTTACTATGAGTCCTAAATTGTACTAACGAAACGACAATATATGGCGTGACAATATATGGCGCATAAATAACTGGGACTACTCTAAAAGTATATAATTATAGATTACAAAGTGTGCTCCATACTCAAAAATGTAATAATAAAATACTATACTGTACTATACTATAAGTAAAATACTATACTCAAAAACGGTTGCACAAAGCTTCCAGTATCGCTAGTTTTCTAGAAAACCCTGGATTTTCAGAAAACCTTTTTCACCCATTTGACTGCTGTGTATGCACATCGTTGTTCACGCGTGTTACGTTAAAGTTACAAGAAAAAAACCAAAAGGAAACGGTTACGGGACATATCCTAGTATTTTCTAGTTTACTCCCTTATAAAGTAGTTTCAGTCTTTGTCTTTTTTACAGAATCATCATGTGGTTAGACTGCACTTATGATAAAAAAAGAAACTTTCTATCATGTTCGGTTGAGGCGTGATGTAGTGAGTGGTTACAGGACAAATTGTTGGTCAAACCTCACCGAGCATTAGTAAAGCGTACAGTACTTGCATAAATGGACGCTATTATTTTCAACTCAAATTTCAAATTCATTTTTTTTGAAAAATTTTAGGTTTAATTCGTAATGGTCGAAATATGAATTATTATGATGATAAATCATTAATGAAATCTCTAGAAG